CGTCAGAGTCGTGAGGCTGCTCCTCCAATGAGCTCCTCCACGTCGGGCTGCTTGTCGTCGACGCACTGCTCAGAGACGCGCTGCACGCCAGAATGCCCGTCCATGTCAGAGTTGCGCTGGCAGGTCTCGTCAAGAGTTTGGGTGTTACTCCGTCGCGGTGCGGATGGGGGAGGGAGGAGGAAGAGGAAGAGGAGGAGGAGAAGGAGGAGAAGGAGCAGGAGGAGGAGGAGGAGGAGGAGGAGGAGGAGGAGAGGGAGTCGGTGGCTGATAATGGGGCGGTGGGACAACAGCTGGTAGCGCAGGGTGGGTGGTTGCTGGGCGCAGCTTCGAAGCTCGCCGAAAGGCGCTCTCCGCTGAGCACTGCTCGCTGCAGGAGCCCACGGTCGGCAAGCAGCACGCCCGCAGCACGGAGGCAGCCGAGTGTGCGCCTTAGGTCTGCCACGGACGGCGCTGGGCCTGGGCGCCCCTAGCTGGAGTGGCTTAAGGGGGGTGGCCGAGAGTGCACGATGCTGTGGAGCGGTGCGTCGGGGGGCCGGTCGCCAGCGGTGGAGTGCGCGGTCCGTTGGCTGGGTGGCTGGCCTGCGGGTCGGCCGGGGAGGCCGTCGAGTGAAGGGGAGGCCAGTGGCGAGCTGCTGCTCGCCGATGTGCTGCCAGACGTCGCCCAGGTCGTCGCGGCCGCCCTGATCCCAGCCGCGGTGCTCGCCAGACTGCGCGACCCGATCCTGGGTAGTGGGGTCGCGCTGCTGCTACCGGCCGTTGTGTGACTCCTCGCTGTCCAAACACTCACAGGCGTGCTGCTTGTCACACGGATCGCCCCACCAATTGTGCTCAGCTCCCTCGTGGTGAACAACGTGGTGGTTTTCGATTCCTCGATCGTGCTGCTCATGGCCTGCCGCTCGTGGCACTCGTCGTGCAGCCGATGGTATCTGTCGTGCGACTCGAGGTATACGCAGCGCTACTCATGGTATCCATCCTGCTGCACTTGGTATTCGTCGTGCAGTTCATCATATCCAGCGTGCTGCTCATGGTATCCGTCGTGCTGCACGTGGTATTCGTCGTGCTGCTCGGGGCACCCGCACTTCGTTTTATGGTGTCGGTCGTGCTGATCCTGGTATCCGTCGCTGCCTATGGCCCTCGTCGTGCAGCTCGTGGTATCTGACGCTCTGCACGTGGCATTCGCCCTGCAGCTCCTCGTGTCCGGCGTGCTGCTCGTGGTACCCGTCGTTCTGCACGTGGCATTCGTCATGAAACTCATCGTACCCGTCGTGCAGCTCGTGGTCATCCACTGGCCGCCTGACATCTTCCTTTGACCGACGGTCCTTTTTCTGCCGACGCGTCGGAAGCTGAGCCACAACAGGCCACCCGTCGCGAAACAAGAGCGTCTGGCGGATAGGCCGGCACACCCAAGATCCAAGATCACCATCAGCAGCGTAGCCCGCGCGCCAGACGGAGCCGGTGTGCCAAATGGGGCCGTCATTGGAGCAATTGTCGGGGGTCGTGTGCAAATACAGTCGCGCTGCTCATGGTATCCGTCCTGCTGCTGATGGCGCCCATCGTGCTGGTCATGGCACCCGTTGTGCTATGCTCAAGTCTGCGTGGTGGAGAAAGGAAGCAATGGCAATGCTCGAGCCCAACCGTCATGCACGACGCACGGTGCTATGCTGGGCGTCGTCGCCGCTGGCCGGGTAAATGTCACAATGCAGGCGTCGGAGCTGGAGTCGGAGCCGAACTTGGAAATGGGGCTGGAATCGGAGCCAGATCTGGTGCTCGAATCCGGAGTGGCAGACACCATGGAGCAGGGGAAGATACAGTCGATGGGGTCGGTGGTATCGGCCACGCGGCGGGGACATCGGTTGACAACTTGCCCCCCCCCCCTCCTCAGCGGACACAGTGACGGACTCGTTTCAACAATGCCTGACGTGATGCTCAACTCTCATGTGGTAGAAAGTGGGAGCCGCGGCGCAACCCGAGTCCAGCCGCTCTGCACGATACGCGGCGGTGTGCTGGGTCGGCCAGGCCGTCGTCAGCGCTGCCTGCCTGTAGACGTCACTCTACAGGCGTCGGAGCTGTAGTCGGAGTCGAACTTGGAGCACGAACACGGGTCGGAGCCTGACCTGGTGCTCGACTCCAGCGTGGCAGACAGCATGGAGCCAGCGATGACGCAATCGATGGGGTCGGTGGTATCGCCAATGAGACCAGGACAGAGGCAAACAAATCGTTGCGTTCCCGACGGGCGTCTCGCCGTAGTCGCTATAGTGTTGTGCCGGTTCCCTCTCGCCGCACAGGGTCCGCGACGCGCTTGAGGGCGGAAGCCGTGACACGATGTAGGGCCGAAGTGTGCACAAACGCACTGGCTTCCGCTGAGCTGGGTAGCAATGTGGTGATCGAAACTGTCGTGGTGGATGCCGTGGCAGTGCTCGGCTCCGTAGTACCGGATACCGACGTGGTGCTCGTATTCCTTAAGCTGCCTGCCGTCGTCGGCGTCGTGCCACTCAGCGTCTCTATGCCGCCTGTACGGGCGCTACTCGTCAAACTCGCCTTGACCGTCCCATTCCTGGCGCTGCTGGCCGTCGTAGTGGTGCCACTCGGCATCATCGTGCCGCTGGAACCCGAACCACCAGCCGAACTCGCGGTGGCCGCTGAGTCTCCTAAGTTGTTGGCCGCCGCGGTCGTGCCGCTCAGCGTCGCCATGCCGCTGTAGGGTCGTCGTCGTGCCGCTTGGCGCCGTCCAACTGCGGGGAGTTACTGGGAAGGATGCGGGCACGACGGACTCCGTCGTGCCCACGCTATTCGGCCCAAACTCCGAGTTTGGGCCGAATAGCGTGGGAAATGCAAGGAATCAGAGAAGCTGCCGCGGCATCCCAAACCAGTTGCAAATCAGAAGTGGCCTTCGCCTTGAAACCCAGCGTCAGTCTGAGATGGAGGGGACGTGGGGGGGGCAGGAGGCAGGCTCGTGGGAGAAGCTGGTTGGTGACAGCGGCTGGGAGAATCAAGTCCATCAAACCGCCCGTGGGTGGCGCATCCTGCCAACCTGTCATCCCCGTCGTTGTCGGACGGCCATTTCCCAACCCCCTCGTTGACGAAGGCGGCACAGTGCGACCATGCGGTCCGAGAAAAAGACCAACGGAGAACTCGGAAGCGGTGTCGACGTGGAAGCTTGGAAGCTCCCCCCGCCTCGGTCCGAGCACCTCCGTCGCACCCTGTACATATATATATATATACCCACGATAGAGACACAACGATGCATGTATAATTTATCATTATACATATACACACGCATGCGACATAAACAATATGCACATATGAGTGTGTATACATAGATATATAGAGAGAGCAAGACAGAGAAGGGAAGTGAGATCCCTCCCTCTCGATCTCTCCCTCTCGCCCGCTCTCTCTCTCTCTCTCTCTTTCTCTCTCTCTCTCTCTCTCTCTCTCTCTTTCTCGCTTTCCATATATATATATATGTGTATGTATATATATGTACACATGCATATACATGTGTATATATATATATATATATATATATATATATATATATATCGCGCGCCTGTTGTCTTTTCCTCGATCGCTGTCACTGTATGTGCAAGAGAGGGGGAGAGAGAGGGAGAGAAATACAAACAGAAAGACTGACATATAGACACAGAGGGAGACAGAGAGATATATCTATACATATATAGAAGGAGAGAGAGAGAGAGAGAGAGAGAGGAACGAACACAGGCTTTGATATGACCTGCAGGGCAAAGGGAGACACTGACATATGCAGACACATTCAGACAGATGCAGAGACATTGCTGCCCAAAGCTGGAGGGACAGATAAGCATAGACAGCAGTAGAGAGTAGAGTCACAAAGGCATGTGGTAGCATGCAGCCTGCTTAGGCTGAGCTGATCTACTGGATAGATTACAGGAACAGGCCTTGATTTTGCGACACCTCAAACGCACAGGAGGGTGCAGCAAAAGAGAGCGCAGCGGACAGCAGGGGGGCAGGGTCAGGGACACGAAGACACGCAGCCAGAGACACAGACAAACAGGCAGAGAGAAAGACGGAGAGAGGACGAGAGAGAGAGAGAGTGAGCCAGGATGAGCAGTGAGAGCAGGATGGAGACCGATGATGAGGACCAGGAGCAGCATGAATCTGCGACGAGCTGTTCCGGCAGTAAACAATGAATCTAACTGGATTCAACAGTGAACGCATGAACGCAGGGGACCTTGAGACGAATGGGACCGTCAAACGACGCGCGAACTGCAAGTGGAAACAGCTCGACGGTCAGCCAACGACGACGCCGCGCAATTCAGTGCGAGCGGCGCGCAACTCAATGCGAGCTGCGCTGCCTGTTACGGGTCGCGCCCGAGAGCGGAGGCGGCCCTGTAAAGGGGGAAGACCGAGCCCCACCATATGGCAAAAACTTGAACTGTCAATTAGGGAATCGAACTCTATACACCGACGCTTTTTCCGGCCCTGCCTTCAAATTTGCACTGGAGAGCGGAACCTGGTGTATACGGGACCCTGGTGTGTACATTTTTCGTTGTTTCCCCGGGATCGGGGGAAAAAAGTATACACCACACCACTCCAGCGTCGTCCCCGACCCTGAAAAGGTCCTTGGATTGAAAAACAGCCCGCCACTGGTAATGTATATGTTCCAGTTTCCGACCAATGTCCTGGAAGCCTGGTGGTGGGCTCACGTATAGCTTTTTGAGCATGCAAGGATATGTTCCGCTACGCTGTGCATTCCGAAGGGAACATGAAAGCCAATCGCACTTTGAAAACATATCCTCAGAACGGCCCTGAAGCACTCCAATCATGTCCCTGGAACACCTAGAAAAGAAATGACGATCTCACGGGCCGAAGTGAAAAGTGGGTCCCTTAGATGTCGGGGGCGAAGAGGCTGCGCGACGCAATATGCTGGGAGGTGCTCACGTCACCGACTGCAGAGCGCGCCACCTGTCTTTTCGCACACCCGTCGAAGGCTGGCGCCCCTCTTGCGCGGACGACCTGCCTTCTCACGGCGCGTGCGCCAGGAAGAGAAACCTGTGCGGGGGCGGGCGGAGGCGAAAGAGGCGACGCAGCTGCACCCAATGACCCAACCCTCCAAGCAGCACGCCCAAGCCGTCCGACCCCGTGCTGAGAACAGGACCTCCAAGCCAAACAAACGGGTCGGCTTACCGCTGTGCAGTTTCCCAAGCGTGCTTGCACGGAGAGGCTCTACCCGTAAGGAACTCGCCCTGTGGGCCGCACTCGGCCGTTCCCGCTCGGTGCCCCATGGGTCGGTGCCCCATGCTCTCTCCCTGGGCCAGTCGGCCTGGCCCTGTCAGTGCCCTGTGGACGGTTGTTCTTGGCTCTGTCTCCCTGTGGGCCGCAGTCGGCCTATCCCGCTCAGGGCCCGATGGCTGGTGTCAGATGGCGGATATTGGAAACCCTGAACCCAAAAATGTTGTCATCTCTTGGGGGCGCACCTTTTGCTTCCGCCGCCTTCCGCCGCCCTTCCGCCGCCGGCTTCCGCCGGCGGAGGCGGCCTCGTTTGACTTCTGCCGGCCCTCCGCGGCCTTCCGCCGAGGAAGAGATAACAACTCCCTCGATCCTCGAAAGCAAGGCCCTTTCTGGAACGCCTCTTATGGCCCTGTGATCGGTGCCCCATCGGGTCCCTGTGCAGGGCCCCTTGTGGGCCGCAGTCGGCCGCCTCCGCGCGGTGCTCTGCGGTCGGGGGCCTGCGGCATCTTGCACCACGCAGCGTGCCCTTCCGGAGTGCCAGAACCGACGGTCTGGGCTCCACGCGCTGACGCCGTGTCCTGTCGCTGCGCGAACGCGCTCGCACTGGCGCAGGTCCCCGCACACGTGCTCTGCGCGCGGTCGCCATCGCCAATGTGACCCGACTGTTGCGCGGAGCACGCCCAGCATCAGTGCTGGCAACAATTGCACGTGGCACCCTGATTCTTGACATGCGGAATCGCAGACCAAGTCCCGCGTCGACTCGATCCGCATGTAAACATGACAGTCAACCCGTGTAGCAAGGCCGTGTCGGCCTTTTGCGGGCGGAGCGCGGCCAGCGAAAGCGGCCAAGGATGGGCCGAAGGGAAAGGATGCAAGGGTAACCTTGGAAAGTTGCTCATCATTACTATTTGGCGGCACGCACAGGGGGCAGAGGGAGGGAGGAAGGCTTCTTAGAAGGAAGCTGCTTCTTAGAAGGCGCTGGTCCCATACCTACAAACGAGGCCCGCGCCTTCTAAGAAGCAGGGGTGCTTCTAAGAAGCCTTCCCCCCTCCCCCGACCCCCCTCTGCGCGAGGCCGAACTATGCGGGTTGACTGTAGTACGGGTCTACATTTTGGTATGCACGCGCAGTGACGACACTCACCGTGGCCCGAGGGGCCCTGCCAGAAGGGTTGCCCACACGCCTGGGCCCGCGGAGGCCATCGCGTGAGTCGACACGCCTGCGCCGACGCTGGCAGACCAGCTCATGGTCGGATGACTTCACTACATCTGGACGAAAAGTGTTCATCTCTTGGGGGGCTTTCCGCCGGCCTTCCCCCGGCTACCGCCAGCGAAGGCGGCCTCGTTTTGTTTCCGCCGACCTTCCGCCGCGGAAGAGATGGCAACTCTTTCGATCCTCGAAGGCAAGGCCCTTTCTGGAACGCCTCCTCTGGTTTCACCTCCAGAGTCCTGCAGGAGCTCTAAGGACGCAGCGCCACTGAGCAGGTAGTGGAGGCCATTGCGTAGCACGGTCTGCGACGAACGACGAGAAGAGCAGCTGGTGCGATGTGGCGAGCACCGACAGGAGAGAGCACAACCAGTTGGGCATCGAATCTCAGCAACAAAGTCCAGGGTATCGCAGCCGGCGAATTGTCAACAGAGAACCACGCACGGGCCAGCCTCGTCGCCTTCACGAGATGAACATGTGGTGCTGAAGCATGGCACGACTCCTCCCCAACGCATCCCATAATTAAGTAATCAGTCCTGCTTGCTGCTCGGCCGCGGGGGCCGCCAACTGGTGGGAGACTGATCTCGTGCATGAAATTCGCTGCCAAATCCAGCGCCCATGCCCACGGAGGACTCCTGCTCCCGTGGGTACATTTTGAGGGAGCTTCGGCTCGAGAGACGCTCTACGTCCTCGGCCAGGCGTGGATTCGACGAGTGCTTCACTCCAGGGGGGGCGACTACCCCTTGGCCACGCCTGTGTCGTGAGCTTCTTCATCAGATGCGAGGCCAACTTGTATACACCACAATTACGCCCGCAACAATAATTTACCGCAAAAACGGTTAGGGGCAGAGTCATGCCGGACGACGCTGCGACGCCACGGCGAAAAGGAGCGCGGCGCAGCTCGCAGGCGCCGTGGCATGGGGAGTTCCTGAAGCAGAAACAGCACTTCTTGGTGGTGGTGTATAAAAATCGTTCCCCTTGGTAACCAAAATTGTATACACCACCGCCGCGCGTGCTTTGATGAATTCTGTTTCGGTCCTTAAGAGAAAACGGGGCAGCCCGGTTGCCGTTGGCGGCGGGAGGGGGGCTGCGGGCTTTTTACCAGAAGAAAACGGCACCAAATCGCATCGTAGATTATTCTCGATCTTGGTGGTGGTAGTCATTACTCATTACTGCGCTCGGATCAGAGGCCCCGGCTTGGCAATCTCGTCTCTTCAACAATTCGCTCACCAAAGAAAGCATTCCTCGCGGCTTTGGGCGGATCGCACCCTCAGCGGCTTCCTCTTCGGCCCAAGCGCGGCGAAGCCGACACGCACACAAAAAACTATTAAATACACGTGATCGTCTCTATTACAGACTGGCGTCCGCAATGCAATCAAGTATTGCGAAGCAGCTCAAAGCGGCACTGGTATTCAAACCGAACCCAGGGGTCCCGCAAGGACCGATTGGAAACAATCTTCAAACATCAAAGGCCAAGGCTGCAACTAATGTGGGCCCAGATCTGTTGTGCCTGGAGCGTCGTCCACTCCGCAGCGGCGGTGGCCGCGGTCGACACGCTGGCAACTTCGAAGCGATGGTCGTGTGCGGGCTGTTGAGTAATCAACGAGCGCAAAACGTAACGCAGCCCAGGAGTTGCGACGACCGCCCCGAGGGGCTCCGCCCAACGATGGACGCCCCGTGGGCCTCTCGACGTGCCACTGCCCCATGCCCGGTGGTTGGGGGGCCAGAAGCGGAGGAGGAGGAGGAGGAGGAGGAGGAGGACACTCGAGTGAGCCTGGCGACCGCCACCGCTTTCGCTTCCAACCTCGAGCACTGCGCATCACCACAGCCATGCTGCGCCGGAGCGTGAGACACAGGAGCGGATGGATGGCGTCAGATCCCTCGACGCCACGCGCTGCCTCGAGTCCTCTCGAGGCCCCGCCCTCTTCCTCGAGGTCCCCGAGGGACTCCCCCGGAGAAGCCGGGGCGGCGCCGGAGGAGAAGCCGCGCGCACCACTGCACGAGGCTCTCGGGAGCTCTGGCGCCTCCAGAGCCTGCGCCGCCCGATCCCGAGGCCCCTGTACACACGGGAACGCGTCGAGAAACCAGGACACCGGTACCCGCCGGTCGGAAGGAGTGGATAGAAGCATGAAGTACAGGAAGGCGTTGACAGCAGATTGGGCTTCCGCCCCCCTGAGGACGAGGGAAGAGGGAAGACCTCTGGAGCCTGCGCCGCCCGATCCCGAGGCCCCGTATACACGGGAAAGTGTCTACTCAGCTCGCAAATGGCCCGGATCCGCCGCGTGGGATTTACGATTGTGATCTGTCGGACCTTGGCGAGCAGGCAGTCTGCGCAGCGGAACGCGCTCGGTGACTGAACGTAGATTGGGGTCTCGCCCGCTCGCTGAGGACGAGGGAAGCGGGAAAGACCACTCCACTCTTGAAGCTTGGGAAGGCAGCTTGGGACCTGGGCCTCCAGAAGTACCTGGGCTTCCGACGACCGGCGCGCACGCCCGAGCAAGCTGCAGCGTCGGCTCGAGGCGTCCTCGGCTCCTCGTGTTGCCCCGGCCGCCTCCTTGGCGAAGGCCCTGGCCTGCAGCGCCCTGGCCCCTGGAGCCCCCGACAGTCGAGCATCGGGTGCGCCCAAAGGCGGGGGCCAGAAAGAAAGACGGGCGCGCACATCACTGCCCGAGGCAGGTGCGCGGGCGAGGGGGGGGGCCAGGGATCTGAGGAGGGAGAGGAGGCAGCAGGCAGCAGCAGCAGGGAGAGGAGGACGGACAGCCACTGCGGAAGCGGAGGCGGCAAGTGAAGGGAGAGAGGGCGGAAAAGAAGGAAGCAGAGGCAGATGCGGAAAGGGGACGAATCAGGGAAGCAACAGAGGAAAAACAGCCGTCCCGGAAACAGGGGCGGCAGGACAAGGGAGGGAGAGTCGGAGTGGAGGGAGGGGGGAACGAGCGTTGATGCATCCCTTGCGGGACCACGCATAATCAAGTCTGGTGTCCCCCAGACACCCGCTCAGCCGTGAGGCTGCCAATTGGCTAGACACGAAACAAGAAGGAGAAGAAAAAAAGAAGGGGCCAATCTTGGAGGCTTCATGGCCCTGGCCATGATATCAACACGCACAGGCCTGATTCCCTGGACGCCTGGTGGCTTTCGGGTCACAGCTCGGGCCTCCGGCGGCCTTTCGGAACGATCTGGGCAGCCCCGGAACGCTCTCGACGACGCGCAGCTGCTGGAAAAACATCCCCAGGCGACGAAACCTCCGAAGACCAACGAGAGCTTCCTCCCACGCCCTCTCACCCCCCTCGTGGACGCCCCCGATCGCACAACACCGCCCCCGCCCCCCAGAACTGAGCGCCAAGATGGGCTCGAAGACCAGCTCTGAGATTGCCTTCGAGACGGGCTCCCAGACGAGTTCAAAGACGGCCTCCAAGACGGCCTCCAACGTAGCCTTCCAGATGGGCTCCGAGACAGCCTTCAAGATCCAGCCTTCGAGATGGCTCCGAGAAGGGCCTGGAGGCTCCGAGGAGTCACGAGCGGCGGTCATGTCCGTATCCGCGCCCTCGCGGTCTGCACTCGGGGGCGCGATCCCGCGGATACCCGGCCGCACGGATACGCGCCGCGCGCCGCATCCGCGACAAAGGGACTCCGAGCCTGCGGGGTCGCGGCCCTGGGGGCCCGGCACGCGAGGCCGCGGACGCGGACATGACTTCCGCCCACGAGGGCCCCTGAGATCCGACGCAGCGAAAAAACTGCGGCATCGGAAAACATCTCACGCCCAGAGCCCCGGGTCCGGTCCTTCTGCGGCATGACTCGAGGCGGATCGATCTGTGAGGGTCCTGGGGCCCGAGAGCAAAAGCGAAAACGCCCAGTTCGAAAAAATCGAGACGCCAGGACACGCGCGGCCTTCTTCTCGGAAGAGCCCGAAGACTTGCCCTGGACGCAAACGTGCAAGATCATGAACAACGTCGCGGAAACTCTGCAACAAGCTCTTCCGGACCCCTCTCCCCTTTGATGTTTCGACTGAACATTCTGCCTGGTCAGATTGACCCATGACCGCGTCTATGAATCTCAAGGCAGGGCGGAGTTCTCTGGACCAGGCAGCCGGTGCAGGCTCACGAAGAGCTCGCCGCCCTCGTCCAGGGCCCTCTGCTCCTGCGCAGGGGGGCGCCGCCGCGGCGACGGGGCACGGCGACCCGCGGCAGGCAGGGCGGCTCCCAGCAGGCGCCCCGGCCGGCTCCTCCTCCTCCTCCTCCTCCTCCTCCTCCTCCTCCTCCTCCTCCTCCTCCTCCTCCTCCTCCTCCTCCTCCTCCTCCTCCTCCTGCTCGCGCCGCATCGCCAATGTACCGGCGACGCATCGGCGATGCGTCGGCGATGCATGGGCGTGGGGGAGTTCTGGCTCCACATCGAGCCGCATCGTCGATGCGTCGGCGCTGCGGAGCGGTCCTTCGACCCCATCATCTACTGTGACCCATCTGGGGGCCCTAGACTTTGCCAGGGCGCACTCCAGTGCCCAGGAGGGCCAGCGCGCCCCAGGCACCATGGTGCGACGAGCCTGCTCGCGCCGAAGGGTCCTGCTGGCAGCCTCCAAAACAGAGGCCACAGATCTGCGTCCAGGGATAAGGCCCTTAGCGTTAAGTCGGGCGTGTCCCCCATACAGGGGATTTTCGACGAAAAATAAAAAGTACGCAAAAAATGCACCCAAATGGCCAAACAATAATCAAAAATAGTCCCCAGACTATTTTTTACTATTTCTGAATATTTCTCCTGTAGAGGGACGGGCCCGACTTATCCTCAGCTATGCGCTGTGAATTCTCGAGGCCTGTCCTGGACATGCTGGAGCACTCGCCACCACAGAGGGAAGGAGGAGCGGGGAGGAAAGACGGGGCCCAGACATACTCGCGTCGTGGAAGGGGGGGGGGGGGGGAAAACAGCCGATCTTCCACCGTTTTCGGCCTCCGGGGGCCCTCGCTGGGCCCCGGGAGCGTCAGA